ATTTACAAGTAAAATAAATGACTTTCCCCACGATTGCACCGCTGTCCCTCGACGCTTCTCTGGATTTCACCCTTCTGCTCCTTTCCTCTGTTACTTGGTTTCTTCATGGCACTCATATAACACCTACTCGCAAAAACAATTAATTACAATCGCACGTATATTCACCATCAGAATATCTTTATCTCGATACAGATTAATACGACCAATAAAGTCAATTTGAGAGCTAATTAAAACATAAAGGATCCTCTGAAAATGTACAAATAAACCTCTGCATTACACTCCAAAATATCGCAAAATTACACGTATTATCAGCACTTGTATTAATTATTTGTAAATTATTGTGTATTGTTAACATGTGTATTAAAACGATCGATACAGCACGGATTTCCCGCTACTTGAATTATTATACTTGCTTCGGTTTCCGACTCGTGTGATACTTCACACTTTAAAAATCCAAAACTCCTATAAACAAGCTACTTATAGAGTACCTAATTGTAAATCCAAAGCACAATGCAAGAAATATATTAAAATCGAAATATCTTTGAGAACATGATTATTATCAGCAATAATTTATAATCTTCATTTCCTAGCGTTCTGATTTCAGTTTTGAATGAATAAACTGTTAAGTATCTAATCATAGATCGCGCGCGTTGTTAATTGATGAATGTTTGTGCGAGTTTTGGAATAGTATACTTTACGTTGTGATAAATGAGAATTAACTGTCGTACATTAATCGGTTCATTATTATCGCGAGTGTTTAACACAGCTAAAAAATTAATATTAATATATTATGATATAATAGTATTATCTTCTCTTTTACATTTTTTCCTGAATAAAGTAAAAACGAAATAAGACGATTATGATAAATTAGGATAATGAGAGATGAAATTATCGTGAAAAATATCACACAATTTCTTTAAAAAATATAGTAAAATAATGAATTAATTTTCATTTTTAAATCAAAATAGAGTTAATATAAAAATTAACTTTATTTTAAATTTAAAATTTAAAATTAAATGTGATAACTTGCTTTAAGTTGTGATAGTCAATTGCACACATTTTTATTAAAATAAAAAAATAATAAAATTATAAACAATAATAATAATTCATTATTATAAGATTACCCATTAGTAATTTATTATTACTTATTTTCACAGAAAAGTTATATTACATTACAAAATTTATTACATATGTATATAGGTATATATCTAAACATTATCAGAACTTTTCAATACATATTTTTATATTACAATTTTTTACTTCAATAAGTTGATTAAATTAGTAATAATTTTTTCTAATTAATAATTAATTTTCACAGAATCAGAGTCAGTAAAGCTCTTTCATATATACTCGCTTTTTCATATTACATTAGTATTTTAAAATATTTTATACTGTTTTGGAGATGTAAAATGTGAAAAATTAATAAAATAATTTACAAAGTAGAAGAAGCGGTATTTGTTGTTATAAATCGACATTAAATATAACAATCATTGTAATAAATTAATATAAATTTTAATATAAATTAAATTACGGCAGTAGAATATTTCAATTATAAAATGAGAAAGAAAAAGAAAGAGGAACTGCCATTAGATACGTTGAGAAATAACATGATAATATTTATCGGCAATAACACGGAAGTGAGTTCTATTTGTTTTAATTTATTCGGCCGTCGACGTATTTGACGCGAACAGAAATTTCACGATATATTTTACAAACGTGCGAAGTTACTTGTTAGTGTTTACGTATGTACGTCACTCTTCAAATACCCTTGGAAAATTCAGTCGGCAAAATTTCCGGCTCCTCGCGGCACACCGCGATATGTCCTACATCTTCGTCACACCGCGACCGTAAAATTTATCCCTCCTCTGGAGAAAAAGCCATTTTCCTTAAAGCGTAGTACCCCGCATCGTTGCAATTGCGACAAATTACAGCGCGCGTATCCGCGTAACCAATTATATTAGCGTCACAACAGTGGCGTCGGAAATGTAGCCGCGGTATAAAGCGTTTCATTTTATCCACATGGAGCTTTTGCCGGTTTTCAACGGCCGTGGAAACAAACATCTGTTGGCATTTCGGTAACGAGCCATCGTTTTATACGCAGCGTGAAACAAATTCGTTATATTTTTCCTTTTTTTTTTTAATGAACGTTAATTTGTGATTTTTAATTACACACGATTGCCGTTAATATCAGAAGGTAATATTTTAATCGGTCAACCTTCTAAAATGACGTATTGACTAAAATACAATAGAATGCAATATTTGTTGACAACTATCCGCGTTGCCGCTTCGTAACTGTCGCGTATATGTAAAAATTGACATAATCCCTTGTGTCGTAAAGGAAAGATAATTTTTCCATAAGGTGCCATTGCCATAATAAGACACCGCAGCATTGTAAAGATGTCGGAGCATTTCTGAAGCGCGAAGATCGCGAAACCATTTTTAGTCGCGTCTGTCACCATGAGAATGTCAGATAAATCGATCAGCGGCTTTCATAAGACGCGTTTTTCCCACCTTCCATTTGGCCTCATAAAATTCACATAACCGAGTTACATTAGATGATACTAGCTACTACCACTACTGCTGGCTGCTGCTGCAGCGACGGCGGCTGCTGCTGCCAGCCGCGAATTTAAATTCAATACGCGGAGGTTCTTCTCGCGGCAGAGACGGACGAACTTTCCTCGTAAGTCAGTTTCTTTGTATCGTTCACCAGACACGAGCATCATATTGAATCTCTCTTTGTCTCGAAATGCCTCTTCTGCATCGCAATTGCAATTACATAATGGCCATATGATATAGCGCGTAATATCCCGGTTTTCTTTTGCACACCGGGCAAAGGCTGCGGGCGCTATTCATAAAAAAAGGTGTAGTAAAATATATTAAAGATGACGGGTGATACGTCGCAATGTAACTTCGGCCACAACAGCATGCATTTATGACTTTAACGTCGACAAGTATTCGTCCTTGATCCAAAATATCACAATTTTCCGAATAAACATCAAATGTTGCAATGAAAAAATGAAATACCACGACACTTGTACGTTGTGTTAGTTATAAAGCTTAATTTTTGTAAACGACACAACCATGTAAAGTACTTTTTTATATCGACTGAAATACCAGTTCACAAGAAAGATCCCATTTATTGAAACTATAGTTATTGAATCGCACGCGGAATGCTACGGTAAAAATGTGCAAATTCGTTCACAAAGGTAAGTGTTAAAAGTAACAGGGATTGAGTTTCCAATATTAAATCCTGCTATAGCAGCGATTGTCCGACCGCGGCGAGAAAAAATATAGTCGATAGAATTTCCATCACATAGCTCACCAATTTCCTGTATTGCCTTCGCTACCGTCGCCATTCGGAAATTCTCGAATCTTACTGCACGGAATGTGATTCTTGTATTACTTGTTCCTTTTACGCGAATAAAATATCGTTTACGATTTAATACGCGTTTATGCATTCAGACGCGCAACAAAGAATTATAATATTATTAAAATCTATATGAAGTCTATGTCGCACAAATAACAGACGGAAAGACACATTTTTTCCACCTGTACGACACATGAATAAACAGTAAAAGAGTATCTTTATGTCATGCGTTTTGAGGTAACAATCGGTGAACGAAATTGTATTTTTACATAAAGTTAACCACTACGAGTATCACGCTGTTACATTAGTGAAAACAATACAGGTAAAAACCATATTCGAGTAAATCCATTTTTAGAATTTATAGACAGCTGAAAAATGTTAGAAAATTGCTTGGACATTGATGAAATAACAGACGATGAGACACATTTTTTCTCACCTGCATGTTACATGAATGAACAGCAAGAGTATCATTATGCCATGCATTGAGGTAACAATTATAAAAATATAAGGCTTGTAAGCAGGAAATATTAAAAAAAGAGTGATATACTATTTCACGCAAAACGAGCGACATTTCCGACAATTTCACTGTATCGTTTACTCGCGATATATAGGCTCCGAGATAAAGTTCGCCGGGAAACTATTTCACGTGCGACAGGTGTTAATTCCGCGTTGATTACTTTTACATCGTAAACCGGCTACATGTTGTCGATTCGGATCGTTACAGCCTGCGAAATACATTCGCCGCAATGGGATACTATTAACAAACTATTTAAATTCCACAAATTAATTTAGCGCCGCTACCGAATATATTAACGATGATTTGTATACGAGTATGTGTATAGTTGACGGTGTATAATGAAACGCGCGATCTCTTAAACCTCTTTTGTCACTGCTAATATTATACTTTTTTTAATGTTTTCATTATCGTTATTTTTACATTAATTTACCACTGCGAGTGTCACGCTGTTACATTAGTGAAAACAATACAGGCAAAAACAATATTCAGGTAAATCCATTTTCAGAATTTACAGACAGCTGGAAAATGTGAGAAAATTGCTTGGAAAGTTTCGTCGCTGACCCGTTTATCACTTTTGAGCGTTTCGCAAAAAAATCCACCGGTACTTAGGCATTCGCGCATAGTGCGCGATAGTTTCTGTTATGAGATAGCTGTATGGATGCTCCATAACGCCAAACTTTCTACAAAGGCCCGTTTTTTTCCATGAATATATAACACGACATAAAATATCCCGCGTATCCGGTGCGTACCGTGACAAAAGCCTCGGGATATTTTCACGAAACTACCGCGACCTTCCGATTTATTCTGTTGTGAATTGACTAACCTAATGCAATATACTTAAGTGATATTTAAAACGTGAAACACTCTTCTCTTTATAAATATAATTATATTCAACTCCTCTTCTCATCCTGACAATCTCGAATTCATGCAACATGATCCTAATATAATTCCAATTCATCTAACAAACGTGCTCGGATCTTAGTTGTTAAATGTTAGAATTAATGATCATCTTTAAAGGATTATTCGCTCCCTCGAAACTTTCGAAGACGAAGGCGGAATGACGCGGAGAATGAGAATTGCTTTCAATTGACGAGCGACCATTGTTGTCTGTTTCAGTGACGGGGCTAGAGCCAGACTTCGCTTACCCGCTGGAGAACGTAACGATCCCGCAGGGTCGAGACGCTACCTTCACCTGCGTGGTGAACAACCTCGGTGGATACCGGGTGAGTCCTTCCTCCTCCGCGAGCGGAGATCACTCTGGCAGCGTCAAGGCCCGGGTAACTATTTTACCATTAACCTGTGTCCGCCTGTAATGGACTACCTTATCTACTACCTACTACTACTAACTCTACTACTGTCTCACTACTACTACTACTACTGCACCACCTATATGCGCGCGTGCCTGCACTTCACAGCACTGCATTTAACTGCACTACCGCCAGCTATGAAAAAAGAGAAATATATATATATATATACTACTACAGTCGCCAGAGCAGCTACCATCACCAACCATCTCTCTGTATACGACATCCATTTTCATCTATCAGCCGGTATACAGGTACCGCCCGACTGCGACGCGGCAACCGAAGTTTCGTAGTCTCTTCACGTTCCTTCTGTCTCATTCTCTTCGTTCACTTCGTCTGAGAAATACCGACAATTCGCGCTAGGGTAGGGGAGGGGGGGGGGGAGAGAGAGAGAGAGAGAGAGAGAGAGAGAGATTCTTCCATGCAAAGTCACTCGCGAAATGGTTAATGATGCCTTCGCACGTTGAAAGAATGCGACGTATCGTTATCTGTCATTATAGCCGATAGTTATACGCGTCTAGTCATTACCAAACTTAAGACGCGCCATTATTACGGCTTTCCCGTTTTGTTCGCGTCGCAGATTATGCATCGCGAGTTGCCGAGTTGCGTAAGATGCTGGGGCTATACGTACGAGGCTCGCGCCTCGTGTTTTAAGCTAACATCTTCTCCCTAATGTCATAGAGCGATTTGAAACGCAAAGTAGACGAAAACGTTTATCGAGATCGATGTTATCAATATTAACGCGTAGCCGGGGTGGAATTTATTCGGATCGATCGATCGATCTCCACCTTTGTCCCTTCTCTGAAAAGAATTCGAATCGCGAGAGGATGAATGGATACAAAAAAGCCGATCCATCGTTGCAGCTATTGTTTTTTTTGACAATGGCTTTCGGGCACATTGCCCACCCCCTATTTCCATGGAATCATGCTTTCCAAAAGACCACGTCCAATATTACTGGCGCAATAATTTCTTCGGTTTCTCGCCGTGAACGCGTCCGAGATAAGATCACAGGCATCGTTGATTTCATTAAGGTATATATGTTAAAATATTTATTATTACTCAGAATGTGTTTCAACAAACTTGCGGGAAACATGAATATTTAAGTGACTCTCTCCGTAAATCCTCTGACGGTTGAATCAGCCAGGAAACTTCAAAAGATTGGAAATTAATTTTCATAAAAGTAATTGCACATAAAATACCTTCTAATATCATTATCAATTTTACCAAGTATTAATAATTATTTTGTCAATTTAGTTATTGCTGTAAAAATCTTTAAATTGGCCAGCGAATTTCTGTCAAATGGCAATTATTTTATAAATATGCAAATTTCATTAACTTTCAATTTTAGTCTCAACTTTCATCTTGTATAAATATTTATGATTTCTCGTGACTTTCTGCGCAATTTTAAAACATATTGCTTGAAAGATGCTATTTGTACTTTTTTCGGAACACCCCGTAGAGGGCTCAGAGCCGCGTGTAATTGCGTAAGTTCCGCTTTACACTTTCCGGTAATAGCGCGATCCCGGCAATGGAAGGAAGATTGATCAAGGCCGGCACACAGTGCCGCTATATGTAGCGAAATTGATTTCGCGCGAGAACATATCGCCGATGTGGCGTATTAAGCGCTTTACGGCTCCACTTGTTGAACCGATAACTTCCCGATAGCTAGTTCCCTTTCTCCCGTGCCGCGGAGACCTCTCGCCGGGGAAAGAAATTTCGGCGCCGCGCGCGCGACCGTCGTAGGTTTTAATTAAACTTGGCACTGTCAGAGTTTATAACTTGTTGGAAAATGCGATTACTTCCGGCAATGCGCTCGCCCGCGTTTCAACTTCTTTCTTTTAACACGGTCGGACAATCCCCCGCGCGGGAGTTTACGTTCCTTTCTAATAAGAATCATCGCGATGGTTCCATTGTTCCTTTTTCTGTTTGCTCTTCTAAATTATCAAACGCATAGAGATCCGCGAGTGAGAGCGAAAAAATGGTTTTGTAGATTTGCAACTATTTTCATCGATTCACGTCACAATCTCGCAAATTAACTCTGTTAAAGTCAATCAGTGGAATACCCGCTGCTGAAAAGTAGTGAACGATCACTAATCATATTATAGTTGCAAATATAGCACTGTGGTTGCACATAGTACTATACTGATAATAGTTTGGTATAAGTAGAACACTGCGGTTTGCAAAAAGTGCTATACTTATAACTATGATCAGTGGCTATTCGCTGCTTTTCAGTAATTGACTTTAGGAGAGAAAGTATTTCAGATCAAAAATGGCAATACCAATTATACATTTCTTTAAATGAATGAAGTTTCTTACATTATTCAATTCTAATAAAATAAAATCAAAAGTTTTAAAGGATTATTTGCAGCAGAAAATATTGTTATATTCGTGTATCTCAATTTTACTTTTATACGAAAATGGAAAATCGTTGTTCTACCATACTGCAACACATGAGATATTTATTATAAAAAAGGCTGAAATAAAAATGCACATTGTCTAAAAAAAAGATAAAATTCTAAACTAAAAATAAAATTTTCTTGTTAAAGCATAAAGTGCCCTTCGCGTTGATATTAAATATTAAAACATTCTGCTTTGCCATCTCGGATAATCCGAGTAATTTCGATTATCATGATTAAACGCAACAACGTATCTACCACTTTTGATCGTTAACAAATCAAAAAAGAACCCAGAAAATACAGCGATCGCGTAATTATGGTAAAAGAAACATTTTGTTTGTATAGTATCGTGCATAACGGTATTTGGGAGAATTTGGGAGATACATTCATGCATAATTTATCATCGCGATCGATCAGCAACCGTTCATGTGCCGTTAATTCAATTGATTAATTCGTAACTCTTGATTTCGATCATTAGGGAAGTATTGTTCCGTATTTATATAATCATCAGCCGCGTGAAGTAATTGATACACATATGTAAATATATTTTTCTACATTACAAATAATACTTTTTGTTGTCAGATTGATATCTGTATACAAATTTAAAACAGCACTGTATCAGTGTCGATAAAAATCCGTTTTTTTCCATTCCCGGATAACTTTCTCGCAGGATAAAAGAGCTCGAACAGCTCTTGAAGATGATTAACAAGTTTTTCCGTTAAACCGATTGTGAGTTTTACTCCTGGTCGACTTGAATAGGAACCGGCGGAACGATGACGCTCAAATTAACATTAAACGAGCACACTGCTTACAACTTGAATGCCCTATGCTCCAAGCGAATTTCGTGGATCGACCAGTGCGAACCCGAGCCTACAGCGAAGATGTTCAGGCCTTCAGTATCCGGCTTTTCCGCTTGTTAGATTTAAGCTTCGATGCTTAATCGCACCCGCTGGAAAATCGAGGTAGTTCGACGATCGCCGCAAGCAACAGCATCTACCTTCGTTTCGAACGAAGGTTAATGAATGCGAGAGTGCATCATAAAGGGCAATTAAAATATTTATATACAACAATCTTGTGCAACAACTGGCGAACTGACATTTCGTCAGATGTAATCGTGTATATCTTCAATAATCTTTAATACGGCGATATGTTGTTTCATAGCGAAGTTACATGATTTATCTTAACCTACTTTTTTCAATAAGCAATATTCTGTACAAAGAAGAATGGATTCTGTTGCTTCGGTAGATGATAGCATACTTGGAAATCTGGAGCCGAGAAGTTTCAAAGGATATTTCAAAACAGGAATGATGGGCATGAAACAATGACAGATTATGAAATGAATAATTACAAGCGTTAGGCATTTATTAATTTCCAACTCTAAGCACACTCGTGCCAAATAATCACAAGTGTTATTTTGCACAATCTCAAGATTATTCCTCATCCTTTGTCTTAAAGATATTTCATGCTTTTATCAAATATCATCAAAGGTCATTTTTTGCGCCTGACGGAATATTATGGACGTATTGTATCGATTCTGGTTGCACGAAAGCGTCAATTTTGCGAACAGCGAAGGAATACGAAACATTATTTTAAGAAAAAATACGGATTATATGATTCATTCCATTCGTCCTGTTATTTTAGAACATATCGCGATCTTCTATCCGGATCTCTTTCTCATTCGAGCGGGCTATAAATTGTACGTCATTGCGCCAATATCCCGAAGTCATCATCGGTAAATCGTTCCGTGCCCTGCCCCTCCGATACGAAAACATTCAGGTCCACATCGGCTTGCCCACGAATGCATAATTTCTATTTGCACATGTGTCTGTTTACAATGCATAAAACGCACTTGAGATTTGAATGTTCGTGCGAAATGAAATATGGTGCAAGCTGCATTGGAGAAGGATTGAGATGCACATTGTTCGGACGTGTTATGCGCCCTGAGTAATTGCCGAGTCCGAGGAGCGAGATCATGCTGGATACGTATTGTTCTTAGCGTGTCACTGAATTCCTGTCTATATGCGAGAGGCATGCCAATGATGCATGAATATATGATAACGGAGAGTATACACGAGGTTGCATGAGCATGTTTTTAACAGTAAGCACTAATCTAGCCAGATAAAACGAGATATGTAATATTAGAGTTTAGATCGGAGACGATAGGTCGGGTTTTAGCAATCAGTTTTAGCGATTCAGGTAGAGACTGACGAAACCTTTCTCTTTACGTATGAGTTTCGATTGTGCCCAAGTTGTGTGTAAATGTCTTACATATCATAGGACGTATTGTCAAATTAATCGAGTTAAGAGCAGGAAACCTAGGTCGAGAACAAGCGTAACCCAAGGCTTCGATGTCTGTGCGTTGAAACGAATAATTGCTCTGTAAACGTTCTCGACGGATATTTCGTATTAAATATGCGATTCTTTATCTCGTCCGCATCGAACGCCTAACTCCCGAGACGAGTAATCTCAAGCCGGGTCCAGACTAGGCAAACGAGTGCAAACAACGCCAATAAGCAGCTCGCTTTAACGAGAATGGCGTCGGCAGTGCTCATCGAAGCAAGTGGTCCATTCGCGTTTATTCGCGCCCGTTTGCCCGCTCTGGATCCCGGGCTTTCAGCTTATTCGACGCGCTCCTACGCGAAGTACAAACGAGACCGGCGCGTTTTATACGTATCACCCGGTACGTCCAGGGAGAACGTACGCTAGAACGAGTAATCTCCGTCCGAAACGTGCGTGTCACGTGAATCGGTTAATCGTTCGAATTCCGCGCACGCGGCTACGCGGATGAGTGCGTTTCGCTGTACCGTCGAGCGTGCCGTGCCGTGCCGCGCCGTGCCGTGCCGTGCCGCGCCGCGACGCCCGGCGTTGTGCTCTGCCATAAAATCTAACATTTAACCCACCGTTATCGTGTTCTCGGGCGCAGCGCCCGAATTTCGCGCACATCCGCGATGAAATAAGCATTGTATAATAAACAATTACAATTTTCGTACGCAAATATGCAGGATGCGCGCTAAAATTGCTACCGCACTATTTAACTACGAACTTTTTAATAATTTGCCTTTCCTTTCATAAAAATTTTTTTTTGAAAAATTTCGCTCTCTTCTGTTTATTTTCTTTTTCATTTTAATTGTTGTACGTGCAAATGTAGAGATAAAGTAAATTATGAAAATAAACTTCAGATCGCAGCGCTCGCGATGTCTGGTATTCTCGTATCAACCCTTTCAAGATGCTGTAAATTAGTAGATTAAAAAAAAACTTAATTTGCCAACTAGTTACATAATAAATTACTGTATATTTCAGAATACATTTTTAAGGCCTGAAGCGTAAAGGAGGAGGAAAAAATTTTGGTATTGTTAAATTATCTCAAACTAGGCAGAAAATTGTTCTTAATTTCTTTTATCATAGATACGAATCTCAACGAATGTGACAACAGAACAAAAGAACCCGAAGTGTCTCGAAAGGGTTAAAATCATTTGTAGAACGAAAACGGGGAAGAAAGGAGGGCGAAAAAAAAGTCGGGTACACAGATTACAAGATAATACTCTAGTACCTCAAATCCCAACCGCGATGTCGAGAAAGGTATGAAGGGCAAGGGGATGGCTCTCCGACCGAGTTGTCCAACAGTGAGCATCGCGATGGGGGACAAGGAGGGGAATCGCGAAACTTTTAATTAGCGAGTTTATCCATTTATATTACACGCTGCACAAAAAGGGAACAACCGTACCTTGGCCGGTCGAAAATCGAGAAAATAAGAACTCGGGAACGAGTCGCACTATATAAGTGGGCGACGGCGTTGGAAAGCCACGAATAAAACGCGAAAGATGAGAAGGGATGAAGAGTTAGGTGAGCCGTGGTGAGGGGTTCTGAAGAGGCGCGGAGGAGACGGCGGGAAATAAACGAGGTGTGGTAGACTGGACCGAGGCTCCCGATCCCACAATGCGCCACAATGGAGCGCCGACGATGGTTTTGCATATGAAAGAGGGCCGAGAATGGAGGGAACGTGGAGCCAAAGGCCGGGTGGAAGGGGTAGTAGGTGTACGTAACGCGATATTATATCGGACTAGGGAGGTTAACCCACCCCCTCGCCGCCGCTCTCTCATCCCCGAATCTCTTTATGTCTATCTATCCGTCTGTTCCGTTACCACCATCCGTGGGTTCCTTCGCGGTTTCTCCTCCCTGAAGGACCGCGAAGATCGGAGGACCGAAGGAGGAGAGAAGAAAATCGTAAGCCGACGGTACCCGGGGAGGAAACTGCATTAGATAAAGAGAACGTTTTTGCATTAAGATAGAGGCTCGTTTCCATACAAGGCACGGCGTGCCCTTTAAGATCTCTCGGCCGTCTACCCGTCTTTCTCCCTACTTAAAATCCTCTGCTTCCTTCATTGTGCTGCAAATTCGTGACCCACTCCTGCTCAAGAAGACATGTGCGCGATGCTGCGTGTCCCAAAGAGGGAAAGGGAAAACGACGGTTTTCGTCTTGGTGTACAGGATTTCCCTTTTTGGGGACGCAGCAGGATCGCGAGGTCGCTCGGTTTTCGAGTTTCAGCTTTCGAACGTGAAGCAACATATTGTGCACGCCTTCGAGTTGCCGTCGTAGTTGCTCGCACAATATTATCCGACTCACGTTGCTATGGATACGTTCTTTCACTTCCGAGAGCGATTTTCATATCGCATATTCACGAGATATCCGTTACTGAGTTTTGCGAAGTAAAAGCTCCATGGAAAAATCACTCGCCGATCGTCTTTGTCAATAATTGACAGATAATTTTTGTCCAATTACGCCTTTCTTTATGTCGTAACGATATTTCGAGATCATCCCGCAGACATGAAATATAATATAAACTTCATGAATTTTACAAATTTCATAAATGTAATTTTTCACCCTTTATGTTTTATTCATTCTGAAATTTTTGACTTTTTAATTTGGAGAATCTATCTTGAAACACACGTACATTGTTCCGCACGCGGCGAGAGAATATTTTTCGAGTCCTTCCCCTTTCGTCCCTTCCTCCTCCTTTCCGGCCGACGACAATTAATCATCAGCGAATGAATTGACGGCAATACGACATAAACGTTTGAGAGTCGCGAGCATCTGTCGGTCGCGACGACTTTTCCATCCCCTCCTTTCCGTGAGAGGGTGCTTCGCCACCTCCCCGGAACGTCGCAGGGCGCATCGAAAGGGAGAATGGGGTCGCGCTTATACTCCGGCATAATATATTATAAGTGGAGGCACTCACAGGGCCGTCACTACCAAACACTCGCACCCTCTCGCATCCCGACCGCCCCCGTAACCGTCCGCCCTCCCCCTCTTCATTCTCCGCGTCCGCTCTCTATACACTCCGCTCGCGGGTTATCGATAAGAACCGCGGAACTCCTTTGTCGGTTGATAGATAGCCTTTCAGAGCGATGCGAGGTCAGATATTCGACATGGTACAGGTTCAATTTCATGCCAATAATATCTGTGCAGAGGGAGGCGAATAGGGCAGAGGGTAGGGGGCGGGAGGAGGATGAATATTCGCGATACGCCACGCTGCAGTTTCCTCTTTCAGGATAGCTTCAGCCAGAATGCGGGGCGGGATGGCGATTAATACGTGTTAACCAGTCGCGATTGCATTTCTTCGGCCCTTTCTCCGCCCGGCCTCTCTTCCTCTTTGCTTTTTTTTTCATTTGTTTTAATCCGCCAAAAAAAATGGGTTTAATTAATAGCGTATATCAGCGGCTTGGAGCGGGCTGCAATAACCGGTGAGAGTTCAATTTAGCGTTGATGATACGAAGGCTCGCGAGCGAGAGCGCGGTAACCCACATTCGGAATAGTCACGATAGTTACTTCAGAAGTAATATAACTTGCGGAACATTCACGAGAGCGTGAAGGACTTGTGATAAATTATACCAATACGCCAAGATCACAGACGAAATATGTGTGTTTGGCCGACGTTTATTTCTATCCTATTTACTATTTTTATATCCAATATGAAGCCCGCTCGAGTTTTTGATGTAAACATAATGTTACATCCGGTGAGAGTAAAGCACCTGAACTTTGCTACTAAACCGTTATCTCTCGTGGTTACCTTCCTTTATTTTTCTGGAAAGTTACGTTCTATGGGTTATCGTGTTCTTGCTCGCGGAATTCTTCATATTTACACAGTGGCAGACCGTCGCGGCGCGCAACGGTACAGTTTTCCAGTCGAGGGATGGTGGCGGCAGAGCCGTAGCAGACTTCGCCATAAAGAGAAGATTCTTTCGTAGAATATACCGGCTTTTGATGCCTGCCTTCGAGGCGATGTATACGAATATTTCATTCATTCGCGAATAGAAAGCGTCCCATGTTTATATCTCTCTTTCTGCGCAAAGTCTCGCAGAGACGTTATCGTAATCGAGTTCATATTTGAATCGCGACAGAAAGCTTAAGAGTGTACTTCCGAATATTTCAGGGGTAACTGTGATGCAGATGAAAAACCGGGAAGAGCGATAGGAAAGTGCTTTAGGTCAGCAGCAAGTTTCATTCTTCCTCGACATCGCTGTACAGAGCGTTTCAAGAGATTCGCTTAATTATTAACTCTTTTGGCATTTACGTTCGGCACACTAAGCTACATTTAAAACCTCGTCCGTGCTTATTTTTACGTAAAGAACCGCTTTCATTTTATGTCAAAATACATGAAAACGGGAAGAAATAATTTCAGAAATTTTATTTCAAATGCGACACCAAAAGGGCTGATTAAAGTGTAAAACTGCGAAAGCTCTAAAAAAACTCTGGCTTAACAAGCACTTTCGCGAGGTATCTCTCGAGGTAGACTCCGGGTAGATCCGCGACGGAAAAGGAATTGTTAATTAACGAGTTACGCACGGCGATAAGATTAGGTAGGCTTTGGGAAGGCGGGGAAACGGTTCCGAATCGCTCCCTAAGAAATGGGTTTGTGAGGCCAGGTGGCGTGGATTAAGGCAGACACCAAGGCGATCTTAGCGATTCACGAGCACGTGATCACGAACAACGCCCGTCTGTCGGTGACCCACAGCGACTACAACACGTGGACGTTGAGCATTCGCAGTGCGCGCCGAGAAGATCGCGGGATTTACATGTGCCAGGTCAACACGGATCCCATGAAGAGCCAGGTACGCATGTGTTCTCTCACGTATAAAAACGCGACCTTAATAAAGATAACTCGTTTCGCGCAAAGGGAGCCAGCAGCTCCACACGCACGTCCTTTTTAAGATTAATACCGCGAGTGCGCGAAATATATAATAATTAATAATTATTGCGCAATTATCGCGCAAATGGAGTATTTCTGTAACGCGAACATTACTTCGAGTTCATTGATTTATAATTGCGACCTCAGACTCGGAGTTCTCCGCTTTAATCCGGTCGGTGGTTTCGTTGTATATATTTCGCAACACTCCATATTCTCTTTTCGTGTACAGGCTGTACACACGTAGACGCGCTATAATTTATCTGCTCCGCATTCGCAGAGTGCGTTTTTGGAGGTGGTAATACCGCCAGACATCATCTCAGAGGAGACCTCGAACGACATGATGGTTCCCGAGGGAGGTGCCGCGAAGCTGGTGTGCAAAGCGCGCGGTTATCCCAAGCCCGACATCGTGTGGAAGCGAGAAGACGGCGCCGAAATCATTTCGCGAGCCGGCCCCGGCAAGACAAAAAGTAAGGACCCCCCAACCCCTAAGTTTTATTTCGCGCGCCAGTCAATCTCGCTTATCCCCCCGAGAGCGGTACAGAGCGGCGCGCGTTGCGGTACCGTAAAGCTTTTCTTCGGACGCGAAATTGTCGGCGCAATTAAAATTGATCCCACCGGGATGGCCCACGACCGGGCAAGGTCGGAATTTAATCATCCGGTACATATTAAATCAATTCGCGGAATTATTCAACAAACTGTTTCGTCTTTGACATAGCTGGTGTAAATTTGAAAATTTCAATCTGCGCTTCAAGGAAGCCGTTGAACGTGTACCACACTGACTAATGTAGCTTCATTTGACGGAATTGGCTCGTCGTATATTCAGCGCTCCAAATACTGATCTTTAAATCAGAACTGTTGCATGCACGATAAGTCGTCATTAGAAATGGATTTAATTTAATAACGGCGCGCCTCCACGTGGACGTTTACGCATCTGTACGAGTTTCATCCGCTAAGTCGATCGGGTATTAATGTTGCATGCTTTGATTACGTGTAACGAGCTAACTTCTGAGACTGCCCTTCGTGTTTGCATATTGCAGTACCCACTGCAGAGGGCGAAGTGCTGACTTTGTCGAAAGTAACGAGGAGCGAGATGGGCGCCTACCTGTGCATCGCCAGCAACGGAGTGCCTCCGTCAGTCAGCAAACGAATGATGCTGCACGTGCACTGTAAGTACATATCTACTATTCTGTTCGGCTACTTCCGCCGTATGCCACGAAGGACATTTCTCGCAATCACAGATATTTGTTTTATTAATACTTCCGCGACGCATCCTTTTACATCCAGTCAATAATTCAGTCTAATCCCCATTTCATAACCCACACGCGCAGTTTAGTACTTGTAAGGCAGGAGGAAAAGCGCAATTAACATTTGATTCAGCAGCGCCAAGTTTTTTAATAAACAATAATGTCGTGAATCAGGACCGATAGGTATTCAACAATTAAATTAGAAAAGGCCATCTTTTAACAAAATGTTTATTTGTACTAAAGTCGTTTGCATTATATTTTTATTGAATAAGTATTAAAAATTTGTCTCATTGATATTATCGTCTCCTTTATTTCTTTCGGTAAAATCTTATGCTCGATTGTTTGGATATAACATTTTCAAATCATAAAGTATCTAGTTTGTATAAATATTCATTTTAGTTGACGCAATTTAATGATATCATACTTGGCGCCTTTTTTTACCTTTTTTTAAAAAAAAAGGTTATTTATAATACTTTCGCGACGTATTCTTTTACATCTAACCAATAATTCAGTTTTATTTACATTACAACACTTAAAGTATAACACTTTTACTTGTGTCATCGTATTACGGTATTATTTATACGGGCTATTGTTGCTCCGTATCTCTGTCAATTTAAAGTCTCAATTTCTCGCGGAAACATTCGCGCGAATTGCATCTTATGTAATTGTCCCGGTAAAAGACGAATAACGCCAAAGCGAGACTTGCTAAAACTTTCAACTGTTACAACGCTGCTAACAAAAGTGAGAAATAACAGAAGAGCGAGACCGCGCAATTTCTCTCCGTGACCCAGTATAAAGGATAGGTGCATCAAAATTTATAAAGTGAACGCATTGCGGACGTTTCGTAACAAATTACAGAGCGAACTATATAAAAATCTCTCTCGCGCGATCCGTACAGATTAAAATTTATAAATCCGCCTTTGTTCAACAAGTCACAGGTATGTTTCATGGGACCTCAGTAAAACGAGCTTTAATTAATAATAGTCTTGAATTTATTAACAATAATAATTAATAACTAATCTGCAATTAATAATAATTTGCATAAATAGCCTGCATCACTTTACAGAATATTCTATTCGTTAAAACGATGAAATGTATGTGTCCATACGTGAATATTGAATATTATTAAATACTCAAAAAGGAAAACTGACGTTTCTCGTATCGTTTCCGAAGGAATATTTTAGCCTTGCGTTCATCTCTATATTATTAATATATTTATACAATTAAAGACTACTAAAACAAAATTAATTCGTATTAGATTTCAAATTACACATGCAAACTTGGTAGATTCGTGACATTATTTAAAGGCTCTCGCGTTAATAGCAGTAATCGCGCATCAATCTGCGGGAGACGCTCATAAGACGAAAGTAGGACAAGCGTGTTCGTCGGAGGAAATGCGTCAAGATTCGTTTTTTTACCGGCCGTATACAGCACCACGGTTTTCCGCGCGCCAAGACGTTTCCTCGAGCAATCGTCCAGAAGATGTAAAGTCCGCGAACTGCTGGCAGTAGCCTTATCCACGCGAGACACACTTCTCGGTGTAAAACGAGAGAGGCGTCTCGGAGGGAATACAAGGTGCCGCGGCAACGACGAAGAAAAGCGTCGCTTGTACGACGAGATAGCCATTGTCGCCTTTCCTTGCATAATTTCACCGTAGCGAAGACGGGAGAGAGACCAGGGAGCTCTCCTCCGTAAAAGCCGGAGATGGAGAATGACGAAGACCACGGCTATAGGAGCGGGAGAGGAGAAGGGGGGAAGAAGACCGAAGGTAAAATACTGCTTAAATAACAGGCGCGTAATGGCGACGAGGGTGAAGGAGAGATTTCACAGGGTGAGATGGGGTGTCGGGGAGGGGCGTGAGATAATAAAATTACACTCGGGACGACGGTGCAACACACCCACGTTCATACCTTCGACCCCACCCGCCTGCCCTTCCGAAGGTTTAGCGAGAAAGGCGGTGTGCGCAATAAGGTTCCGTTCAAATTGCGCGAAAACGAGGGTGAATGAAGACGCGCGCGAAAACGCGCTATGTCGAAAGAATGTCGTAAACTCAACTCCCCGTTTCATTATGAAATCAGTCTGGGTTACCTATCTCTCGTAACATAAAAGGTAAAGTTTAATGGATGAAGAATCAGCTTGTATAATATTTCATAAAAACGACATAAAACTAAATGAACAAGTGTTTCATGCAGCTTGTAACGGAACAAAATCTTGGGCTCCGTGACCTTTAAAGAATATTTTATCAGAATAAAGACGACGATGCGATAATAAAAAGTATATATGCGTACAGCAAGGGCGGCGCAGTTTGGCTGTAATTTGGCGTAAACCGCGGCAATCGTTAATTGAGAAAATAAAAAATGAAGACACTTTACACGAGAAATTGGACTCTAAATCTTCTTTTACACGAAAAATCCGATTTCGAGATAAATTCCCATACATCAAGAGACTGTACACTCGTTAAAAGAGCGTAACAGTAAAAGAGAGGGAAGGCGAGTCGTAGCCCCTCGTTGTGGTGGAAGCGTGGTGTGACGATAGCGAGTTAAGCCGCGGTTACGACCGACCCGACCGTGTCTTAGACCCCGGTGGAGGAGAGGTAATTCCTCGGCGGAAATTGGACGTACCTATGTACGTAGGCTACGCTCTGCCGGCGCGGTTGTACGATATCGCACCTGGCCTCGGGCACCCGCGATAAGATCGTGCGATAATCGAGTTTCATTGAAATACGCTACAGACGGACCCGCGTCCGCGAGCTATCGCCGCGAATTTCGCGCGACCAGCGTGGGATATTGCGGGTAGCGAGGTGCGGGCCCGCTTCGGTTGATTCGCGGATACGGGACTGTTCGTGGCAGACGGCCGATTGCCTCAAACGATCGCGTGACGCGCGGGTACCAAAGTACTGAACTTCCTTTGAAATCGCGGAAGAATGCCCGCGGAATCGTCGGCAAACGTCGTTCGCGTGCGATTACGCGATTGCTACTTTGTCGTCGACATACGCGCTAATTGTAAGGCTCGCTGTGTGAAACGTAGGCACCTGGCATTATATCATATTTTTCACATCGTCTTGTGCCGTTTTATATTTTCTTTCCCCCTGCTCTCAATCAAATCTCGCAAAATCAGAGAACAGTTTGTAGATACGTTGAACCAGTTTGTGCCATTAATGCGGCTACTGTTTAACACCGAGGAGACTCTGGTAATCATAAATAGTTAATACAATACTTCCAGACTTCCCCAAATAAAATTGTACCCGCGCCTCACGTTCGCTCGTCATCGGCATCCACGCGACAGCAGAGTGAGCAGAATGGAAGTTCCCTGTTAGTTAAGGACTCGGGAAAAGAGAGACCGAGCCCTGATCTAATCATCGCAAGATGTGACAAGCTGAACTTTACTGAGAAACTTTAAACACCCCGCCGTCCGCTCCGGTTTTAACTTAGTCCCAACGTTTTAACTTCTCCGTTACATCTCTCGCGACTTCCTTCCTCCCTCGTTTGCAACTTTTCTACGGAACTCGGACGCGTAATTACGCGTTAGATAAATACGGTTGTACACGAGGGGCTGAAAGAGGAACCGCCTGAAAAGCGACGCGACTAGCCGCATCGCAATGCGAAAAGTACACGGAACATTGCCGAGTCTCAACACGGTCTTAACATTGCTTCTAACAAAGAACTATTACGCCGGAATAGTATACGTGGTGCGAGCGTCATAGAAGGGGATGGAGCGTTATCTTATCACTGCAGGAATATCAGACGTTAGGTCCTCTGTACGTTCAAACGAGAGAAAATCTTGTCTCTCGTGGACCATAGGTTTCCCACTCGCCAAATGTGTGAATGTGTGTCTGTGCATGCGTGAGCGAGTACGTGTGTGTGCGTGAGAGAGGGAGCGAGACCCGCTAATACAGGTCCGATCCAAGTTGCTGCTTGGCCTGGAAACACAATAACGGACCTCCCTAACATTTGTAAGTTGAATCTATGTGATACCGCTATTCGCTCCTCTTTTAAGGATAATTAATATCGTCCCGATTGCTGTCCCTCGGGATTACACGTGCCGACCTGCGTTACAATCAACAAGATGTTCAATTGCGAGATATTTAACTTGGGTGATGTTGTCACTATCCGCAATTATTCATTCGCTTACTGTAATTTATCCTTCGTTTGAGTAAATAGCGGTTTTTCTCGGTGTGCTCGTAAACAAGTAAGCCGTAAAGATAAACTTCAAGTAATTTTGACAACTCATTGAAATACTGAATTGTAAGCAGGTGCGGTATAGTGAGTGCTAAATTAAGAGACTGCTAGATAATCCTTCGTGTTGAACGTACAAGTCTTTTCTTTATTTCTGATAAAAAATAACATATTTTCTTTCAAAAGTTTGAAAGCAGGCGCCACAAAATTTGTCACAACGAATATTGCTTATCACGTCCAACTTAATTATTGCGGAAATCGATATGGACATTATTTATCTAGAGGGCATTTGACGCGATATTGAGAATTGCACGCTGCGTTAGTGCATTAAATTATTACGCAACATTAAATTGTTGCACCGCATTAGACTAGAGTATGAACGCGACGAATGCAATTTCGCGCCACAGGTCGCATTAAACGCCTCGAGGCACGCTCGCTGCGCTTAATTAGCGGAGGCGGCGAAAGAAATTAGCCCGTACGGCTTACTTATTTACGAGCTCGCGATTGTGCCTCGCGGTCGGCTTCCTATTTCAGTTCTTCGGTTCAGATCGATCGGCTGTCCATTTTGCAGCGCAGATATCGCATCCGCGAACTCATTTGATTGATGTTCGACAAGCTTATTTTGGCGTCGCTATATTTATCGGCGATACCGCATCGTGAACTTGCACACGTTACCGTATAACATCCAGTTATGCAGTTACTGCATAAACGTGATATAAGATGTCCCATATTCTCGAAAATATTCTTGGCTAAAAATACCCCGCAAACAGTCTATTGCCAGTTAAATTTATTGCGCCAACGGAAATCTTTAAAAGTATAAATAAGGAGAAAAGGTAATTTTTCAAGTTGAGTTTTTTTAACGAGAAATTAATTTGACGTTCCAAAATCAAAATTCCCCAAAATTTTATTATTTATTCAAGTCCACTCAAGGAAACTTCGATTGAAGCTTAAAAGCCAACGGCACACGATAGTATTTTTTTCTTCTGGATTGCTTACGAGAGCCAATCAGGATGCAGAGTTTTAGATCGGGTGACTCGAGGCTAAATCGTGATTGGCTCTCGTAAGCATTCCAGTAGGAAAAAATAGTATCGTGCGCCGTTGGCCTAACTCTCTAAAAGTCACTTAGTGGATTATCACTGATTTCTAGACAATAGCTAACAAATTTGCAACAATAGTTTCAGGACGTATGTATAGCGATTTGAAAGATCTAATGAAATAAGAAACAATTGTATCGCAGGAAATTATATCAGTATACGTTTATGTATGAGACGGTATAACCGATTGATTTTCTCGCCAAGATTTTATCGAACAATCAGTCTGTCAATAAACGGCAGTGCGCAAAATGTCCGGCGACAATTTGCATTTTGTGCAATTACTTGGCGACGAAATGTCCGACGTTGAAATGTCGCAGCGTATTTACATTTCGTCGAGCTCGGGCCGCGGGCTCGTTCACAATTAAGAGTAATGTCGAGCGATCTCGCTGTTTGTTATCCGCGCAAACGCCGTTACCTATCGTCACGCATTGAGTTAAACGTTACACGAAGAATTCCCAGCGCGAATATTCGTCACTATCGCACACCGCGGGCGCGCGTGTGCGCGCGCATGTGTGTGTGAAATCAGTGCCGTGAATTTTCAGATGGATCGAAAGTTTGCGCGTAAATCCATCGGAAAATCACGCAACGGGTTTGCGAGACACGTCCGGGCAAATCGGGACAATTAAAACTCCCTCTTTCTCTCTCTACCGTTGCGGCCAGAAGGGATTCATAAATCAATTCTCGCGACACAACGCGCGGTTGTGCTTAGGGGCGAAAACGTGATTCAATTCGGCGCATAATTGTTCGCCCGGAATTGCCGAGAGTCCGCGCATTCGAATTAACACGCGCCGAAGTGCCTCGTTGTGTCGTGTGTGTTTCGTTTCAATAATTCGTCCCGCACTTTCCGGCTCGTTCGCGTTTTGCAGCACGACGCCGACAACGTGCGTCATAATTACCAATTATTCGTAATCGCCCCGCAATTATTATTATCGCGATCGCATCCGGATTTACGTTTGACAAAAGCGTTCTTCAGTTAATACGAATTCGATGCACGAATAATTAAAATATCACAGTTTGCCACTCCTTGAGAGATTTATTAGTTGGATCATCAGTTCAATATGTACATTTGGTATTGTTAAAAAAAGGATCAATGTAGTGAATAAATTACAAATTGACGAATCTTTATAGAACACTGCCAGCCGATCGAAATATGGATCGCGCCAGCACCGTCGCGAAACTTCGAGGAAGGAGCGCCTAAAATCGCGTTATGACGAAAAGTAGCGGGAACTTTCCTCGTAGGAAAAGAGTTAACGTGCGAAATAGATTTTTTTTTCTTCCGCGAAACTTGCAACGCCGAAATTACCCGATTTTTATTCCGGGGTGTCGATACGTCTGACTTATGGTTATCCTACCGCCCAAACACTCTGTGTATTCCCCTTTCTCATATAAAAGTGTCGTCGCGGTGCTTCTGGAATCTTCGGTGTGCACAAGCGCGGCGCGAGCACATATATTTCCCAAGCGGCGCTCGAGATAAAGAGTCGACCAAGACCCGCCGAGGAAACGGCCAGTTTATCTCGCGCCATCATCTTAATTTTCTGTTACTACATACATAATATCATCACCCGGCATCCCGCCCATCGATATCGCCGATGTAATCTTTATTACCAGCGAGTGCCATCTTAGACAGCGTTATCTTTTAACGGCAGCGATACAGAATCGTTAGAGACTGTAATGGCAAATTTTAGACCCCGCCATGAATACAGACAGTCCAGCCATGTTTCATATTTCTATGCAAATGCATATTCTTAAATTGTCATACGTATTTCTCAGGAATGCATTGCGTAAAAAGCTATTGATGCGATCGAATAGCCTGCTTACTTCAATTGTCGTCTATGCCGTGGCTTAAAATAGAATTTTCTCACATAGAAATCTCTTTAAGAGGATCCCTCAAGGCCGAGGGCTTTGTTGGTGTGCGCCATCTAAACACGAAACGCAGCATACATGAGCACACGGACACACTACTACGATACATCACACCCATACATAAACGCGAAAGTTTAATACTAACTATACTCTTATTTTAAACGTCTAATCCCAATTTAGAGGGTTTCACAGTAATTCTACATGTCATCGAATCCTGAGAAACTCAGTTTCATGTGAGTACAAGTTGTAGAACTTTTATACGAAGCACAAGTATGACGGAGTGACAGTTCGCGTCTACAAGGTTAGGTTATATGTGATCGATTATATGAATTTTGTAATTTTTACTCATTTTTGGTATAAAATTGGAGTTTCTCGGGATCATCAATGCATATACTGTAATTGTACGCAAGCATTTTTGATTCCATGAATTTAATACGACGAAAGGTTATAACTACGAAAATGGTATTCTGTCGGTAATACAGACATACTACGGGATCCTCTTAAGTTGCCAGTAATAGATAACAATAATCAAGCTTTTTGGTCGACATTAACCGGCCAGTGTTTTAATACAGAAAATTTATTGCGACAAATATTACCTCAGCCAGGATTCGAACCTGGAACTTCCCTACTCTCTAGGCAGGCGTCTCACCAATTCGACCACTGAAGCATGTGGTAATATTTGTCGCAATAATAGTATAAAGATGATATCTTCGCGTCTATTTTTCAACTTTAAACTGCGCTCCGATTCGGGTTGTCGGCAGTACACAGGACTGTCGATACGCGATTTTAAGTAACCTTTTCCCCTTCTAGTAGGGAAGTCCAGGTTCAAACCCTGGCTGAGGTAATATTTTTCGCAATAAATTTCCTGTATTAAAACACTGGCCAGTTAATGTCGACTAAAAAGTTGAGAAGTTGATTGTTAGAATTTTCTTAAATACATAAAACGTATAAGTACATGCCAGAAGTCATTTCGTTAGCTTTTGCACGAATTATATACTACGGCGGTCTAAATTGAACCCCGGTACGCACGAAACTGGCAAAACAAAAATTTTCAATCTAATATACGTCAGTCATTATTGGTGAAAAAAATTATACTCTTTTATTCTGGTTATGACGTGAGCAATTACGTCGACTTCATTAATAGCAACGACGTGTCGGATTATGCCGTGAAATGCGAATTGATGATATGCAGAGAAATTTCTCTTGCATAGAGCGCGCTAGAAAAGAATTCAATGAACTGCAGGCTAGCCTGTTTTCCTGGAGGCAGAATTTCACGTCGGCGGGGTTAAGTAGCCGCTGTAAAACGCACTGTAAGCGCTTTGTGACGACACGACGTTTGGCCGAGCTTCGGCTGAAAGAAGAAGTGCTCGGCGCGGTCGCCTGTTAAAACGTAAGCAGCTCACGAAAAGCTGCTTACGATACTCGAAATGAAAGGCAGTACGACGGTGCCATGAGGCAGCGCGCCCGCGCGCGCCCGCGCGCGCGCGCGCGAGACAGGGGGGAGGGAAAGAGGAAAGGACAGAAAATGTGTCCTTTCCGCTTGCTCGCTAAATGACGATCTGTCAGCGTGTTTCATTAGCGTGAGGTGCTCATGTTGCTCGCTAATGACGCACTCGCACAAAGGGACCACAATGTAACTGCGAAGTAAGGCGATTGAATTGTGCAAGTGATGCAACTATGTTTCCCTATCTCGAGATCTTCGGTTTAAAGCAAATCGGAAAAGTATCCTTTGTGGCATTACGGGCGATGACGTTCAATTAGAGAAATTAGTTCGCGGGGAACCGCGCGCGCGCGCGGCCGTGTGTCGCCGATGTGTGCTGTTGTTGTTAGCTTGATCGCGTCTGATCAGATCGTTATGGTTTACAGTCCACCCGATGGTCCAGGTACCGAACCAGCTGGTCGGGGCTCCGATCGGAACTAACGTCACGTTGGTCTGCCATGTGGAAGCGTCACCTAAGGCCATTAATTATTGGACTCGAGAAACGGGTAAGTAGAACAGTGCAATCAGTGTAGTTCTTGTCGTTCAATTGACTTGAAAGATAGATTGCTCGTCGGTGGGGAGATTTCGAATTATTCTGAAAAGTATATCGTAGTTGAGAACAGAGATATTTTTCGGAAACTATCGGCAATGACGTCGACCGATAGGAAAATTTTTCAAAGTGTGCAACTTCTTGTCGATTTAATTTCTAAAACGTGTTTCCGCAGACGAAATGATAATCACTAACAGCAAGTACACGATGACCGAGGTGAAGACGTCTGTGTACAGCGTGCAGATGCGGCTGGTGATCATGAACCTGCAGAAGCACGATCTGGGTGGCTATAAGTGCATCTCGAAAAACTCCATCGGCGACGCTGAGGGGAACATCCGGCTTTACGGTGAGTTTCCGCGGTTAACGCGTACGACAAGGGCGAAAACAGGTCGTAAAGTCTCTCTACGCGAGGCGAGGCTTCCGGAAAGTCTCGGGGAAACTTGCGTCAGACGCAAACGACGTTCGTAACGCCACAAACTCTCGTCCAGGGTTAATGCATTTATTATATATTTCTTTAAAAAATTAGCAGTCGGTTCAAAGACAGCCCGGACATAGGTAGGGAGCTCAAAGGGCCTTCCTGAATCCCGTCACTGGGTAAAGCGGCTGGAATTTATTATCTCGAATATCGAGAAAAAGCTAACTCGACGATATTAACAGAATAAACTTATTAATGATTATTTTACAAATACAGACTTTACAGATTAATTTACAAATTCAATAAAAAGTTCCATATTGGACGAATTTTTGCACGAATGCCTGCGGTTGGCTCGCATTGGCCTTCTTCCCCCCCCCCCCCACCAAAAGAATAAACTATCGGAAATCCTGTTTACGAAACGTAATTTTTTCGAAGGTTGAACTGCGCGCGCAATATATTCGTGTATCCATTTTAAAATACCCAATGTCACTTCCGGAAGCGAAAGTGCCTTTCTACAGGGAGCATTGAAACAGCCCTGGATAGATCAGAGACGTGTATTTGATTGTTGCGGAGGACGGTCGCAGTTGCACGTGCTCCGGCAGCGAGGAAGTACGGCGTATCACTGCGACTTCGCCGTTTCCATTACATGCGCGATTTAATACGTCGCAATCTCGCAGGAACGATCGACGGCAACGAGCGTCTCGTGTATTACGACGGTATTTTTCTTGTCGCCCCGTAACGATACGTCGCCGTAAAAATGGCGAACGGTTAACTTGGCGCGTGGAATTAAAGAAACGGACGTCCGCTTCCGCCGGCGCTGTTTGCTTTCGTTTATTCATCGCGAGCATCGAGCGACCGAGTGGGGTGGGCAGCGTTAAATCCCTCGTTTGTAAAAGATATACGATCCTTTTCAGCTCGCAAGTTCAAGGTTTTATTCCCGTCCTCCTATTATTTCTACATGGCTTAGCGCGAATTGTACAGCGTGGGGTGGAAGGCGGTGATAAAATCGAGACTGTAAAGTGAAAATCTGGGCAGAAATATTTTACATGCACTTGTATAATATTTCTGAACGCTAACTCTCGTCGTTTTGGTAATCCTCGGAATTTATCTCGAAGAGACCGCACGGCTGTTACTGTAAGGGTATCGGTATTTGCGAAATTAAGTTTCCTCTTGAGTTTTACTATTTAAGATATCGGAGAGACCGGTCGGCCGCGAGACAGATTGGAATTTCCGCAGTTTCTTAGCCACGTCTCCGTCGTAACCGTAAGTTATTTCACGACGCAGATAATACTGTACTCTTCCGTATAATATTTATGGAATTCGCTTCCATTGTGTGTCTGCGAAATACCACCACCGACCGCCGCGGTGCACGTCCATGAAATACCTAAGTCAGTAATCTTCAAAATGTCTTTGCGATATCGGTTAAAACATGATTACAATCCGCCCTCCGCTGCCACCCTCCCCAGGATCCCATTCTTAAAGCTTTTAAACTGTCGTTCCATAACAATAATTTTACACACATCCTACGGTGCAGCAACACATAAGTCGCAATCGTAAAGTTTCTTTAAGAATAACAACGTAGTACTATCTTAAGGGGATGCTGGAGTGATTATGCATTTTTTGCAGCTTTTGCATCTAGAAACTAGTCTGTTTCTATTAGACTAAAGCCATATAATTTGTATATTACACATATGTTTTCACGAATTGACAGTTCTGATGCAAAAGGTGTAAAAAGTGCAGAATCATTCCAGCATCCACTTAAAAACATGAAAAACAAATTGTAGTGATTTAAAATTATAAAAGATGTATGCGCTCTTAGAAGAAAATATTCTGTAAACTGAGTGCAATTATAAGATTTTAGGATATGAAATTTTTGTAAATTTCGATCTTAACATCTCGTACATGCATATTATTTTTTTACTCTCACATGCCTCAGTTTTTTTATTATTGGAGAATCCTAAACTTTAGGTAAGATTTTTTTATTTTATCAGAAATAACTTGGTCGACATCGTCCTGGTTTTCTCTTTCAGATTTGAAAATAGCCATAAAATTACTCCCGGTAACGAATACAAAATACGTGTAATTAGAGGTAAAGCTTCGGATAGCGCGGCGATATCTCGCATTGTACATCGCGGCGGATAACGCTACGACCGCAATAAGTCTTCATGAGTGGTGCCCCATAATTTTCCACTCTGATTGAACGTTACGATCCGTTTACGGCGCGTACAGGCACCCCTTTTACTGTCGAAAAACGAATGAAAAAAGGTGCATTTTTCGCGGGCGACGTGGCTCGACGCGGTCCTCTCGCCGGCGTGTCATCAGCCGTAAATGCGGCCATAACTTCCCGCTTACTTTTCTCGAAGCGCGTCCTTATTTTTTCACAGTTTATTTACCGGATTCCGCGTCACATAATTTTCTGCTTTATAGCACGGGAGAAAATTCAGCGAGGCTGCGAACTATCCTGCGCCCCCGACACGAAACAGCGATCAAGTGTAATCAATCCATTTTACGCGTCAGAATTTTCAAGCAATTTTTGAGCTGTAACACGCGGTTGGCTGAATCGCGGAGGATGTAATCACTGAACGGTGGAACACTGAGGCAAATGCGGTACTTCAAGTGCATCCCTGAAATTATTTGACCTGAATTAAGCAGCGCTTCCCGATGATCCCGAAAACCGTTCTACAATTACGCGGGGGTCTTGTAAAACGACAATTTTGTTTTACAGACTGGTGACAGGTCAATTTTAGTAACGTTAAGCGAAATGATATTTCTGCGATGTATTATTTCAACGACGTATGCCGGATTCGGTCGCGCTATTCTTGACATGCGTCGCGGATTATAAACGGCAATAGAAAATTGGTATGATGTACTTAGCGAACGTGACGAATCGATTCATTATACTCAATCCGACGCCTTTGAATAAATGACGAGATAGATATTGATCGAATTCCGAGTGACCGTAATAACATTGTAACGCAGCACGGAATGTTCTCCTAGGATTATTTCTATGTTCGGCATTATTTTGCTTATTCACAAAGGACGCGATGCGTAATGCTCACGTTCCTGCATTATTCATACGCTTTACTATATCACGATCTTCTTTAATAAATAATTCAGCGCCGCGCCTGTAATTTTCGCTTAATATTTTTGAAAACATATCGCGATACTTTGTACGTTTCCTGCTGAAAATGGGGCGGAATGAATAATATCAGTGGTCCTTCTTGTCGAATTAGCATCTTTGTCGAAAATGCAACTTTCATAACTCTGCAAAAGCTTCCACCGTCGCTCAAAGTTACGGCAACGCTGCTAAAAATTATTATATTATCACGATTGTTACCGTTGCGAGATTTACATTCGTATTATCGCGGCGAAAATTCTGCACGTCGCGCGATTGGAGCTAAATTCCAGGCGAGTTATTGATGAGATGCGTGCGTAAAATTACGAATTCACACGCGACCGTGCAATCCGCATCTGCATCCCTGTGCGCACGTCGGAACACCGCAACGCAGATGACCAAAGGCGTAAGGGAGATTTAAATAGCCGTGGTAATGAAATTACGCTATTAGAACCTCGAGGAATACGCGAAACTTGTCCGTCCCGACTTTTCAATGAATAAGAATCGACCAGTCCCACGGTTTATCTCTCTATCACAGCGCGAGTAGTGGAGCGGCGTAACAAGCCGGACAAAACCAGGCCCGGTATCTGCGAGTTAACTACCCCCGCCAGCCCGTGAGCGCGCGTGCAGCCCTAATGACGGCAATTTTATCGCGCTGTCGTGTAAAGAGCGGGTGTACGCGAGGAGGAAGCGCGCGATGTTATCCCGGCGTGCTCGAACTTCTCGTTGAAGTCACGCGATCAGATAAACTCGAAGGATTAACCGTTAAACCGCCGGTGTAAACGGGGCGCGAAGAGCCGGGAGTGAAAAGAGCGTGCGCTGTCTACGCCGGGAGGGTGATTCGGTAGATTTAAAGGCGCCCGTGCACAGGGCGAGGACGAGAGGTAAGCTACGGAATGCACGGGGGACAGCGGCGGCATGTTGGAGCGTCATGTCGAGCGTCATGCCGAAAGTCCGCGAAACAATATCCCAGCTTTCCATCCGCCCACCTCGCCTACCCCCTGGCCGCGTCGCACCGGTTTTTCGTGTCCTCTTTTCCGCCGTTCTTCCAGGGATGTTCTTGTCACAGATTGCGCGCGGTCGGGATTATGGATTTACTTTGATAAATGAGGACTCGATATCCGAGGCGTAACTCCGGGATGAAGATCGCGTTGCTTTAAATTATAAGTCTGCGGGTTTGATTTCTCCCGTGGGGCGTATTATACAAGGGTATCCTCGATATTCGAAACTCCCTCGCTGTATCCTGTGGCGTGTCACAATTTAGAGGATGAGACCATATTACGTTAAAATGATCGGCACTGTTTCCATTAGAAAAATTGTATCGCGGGCCTCCGATAATTTGAAATGCTTCAGATATCCGTGCTTAACTGTCGGCGTGTCTTCCCGTCGCAGTTTCAAATTATCGCGTGGAAGAACGTGAAAGATACTGCCTTTTCGTCTAAAGAAGCGGCGGTTTTTTCCACACAAAAAAAAAGTATTATCGCTAATTTCGAAAGCTGTTGGAGATTTCCCAAGGATCGCTTGCGTTTCCAATAATGGCTTCTTCTAAATCAACGCGGTACGAGCTGCCCTCCGTGAAAAAAGCGCTGCGAAACAATAGCGAAGATCGTCGGGGCATCACGTCTCCGGTTAAAAGACCGCGAAACAATATCTAACCTGGCCGCCAGCCCGCCCCGTTATCTCTCTTCTTGCTCCCCGTCGTCCCGGCCCCGCGTACTCCCCGTGTCTCGTATTAGTTATCGTTTATATCAGCCGGCCAGACAAAACGCGCCGTCCGGAATTGGGTGAGCCATCTGTTGCCAGACATGATCGATAAAAGTCTGCCAAGTGTTATCAGTGCTAAACTGCTATTTAGACGGGCTGCCGCACCCTCTTCCACTTCTACTTCTTCTTATAGTTCTTCTAACCGCCGGTCTACCGCAACCTGTCTCTTCGTTCACAGCTGTATACGGGGTGTCGCAGACTCGCCGAGATCAATTCTATTCCCGGAAGGAATTATGTGATCGCCGTAGAGTCGATTTTTTTGCCGAAAGAAAAGCCTCGGGCGGATGTAATTATAATGACAATATTTTTCGTAAGAAATTTTACGTATTATTAAAAATGCCAGATATGTGGTCAAGAAAACACTGACATTGTTAATTACTGCTGGCGACATTGCAGAATATTTTTATTGGTATAACGAAAATGTGGCGAGCGCTTTAAAAAAAATCTAACGCAGGTAGATTTCTAGGTGCCGCAACAAAAATTTGTCGCAATTTTTTGTATCTGTTAGACAATTTCTTGTAGCCTGCAAAATTTACAGCAGCAACATTCTGGTAATACCTTCTGGAGAGTTTAGCTTTCATGACTACGCAGTTGAAAAATTTGTGTTAAATTTAACAGATGTTACATGTCCCAAACGGTCCATACAAAATTTTCTGTTAATTTAACACAATATGGATATGTTAAATAGTCACACTAATACTCTGTTAATATTTTAACACAAAATAAATGCAAATCTCAAAATAATTTGAAATAAATTTTGTGTAAAATTAACATATTTTTAATGACAAAATGAATTTTAAAAAATGTCATTTTCACATTTTACAGATGTAATAAGTCAAATGACGGTTCGAAATCACTCTCACTTATGTTATATAGAATAAAATCGACATTTTATTCTGTAAAGTTTAACAGATAAATTTTGTTACTAACAATATAGAGCATATGTATCGTGTCAGATTAAAAAATAAGTACACATTGTGTTGTCTTAACATTTCTTCAGTTATTTTCATGATTTTACATTTGAGGTCAATTAACACAAGAGCAATGTGTTAAATTGGCACATGAATGTGTTAAATATTTAAGACAAAAATTATAACCGGTATTTTCTTTAACAAAAAAAACACAAATTTTTCAACTGTGTAAATATTAATCGTTTACATTGGATAAAAATAAATTTTGGTATAGCTAGAACAATTTTTGTAAGGAATATAAGTGTATACCACAATCAAACGTTATAACTGATGGGCGTCACAGAAAGACCTTACCACCGTTCGCTAACAGTTGAGATAGAAATTCTGTTTCTGTTATTTAAATTGATTAAATCAATACAAATGCGATTTCGCAGTATTGGCTATTCATTTGTGTATATCTCAGTTATTGTTTCGTACCTAGAAAATTGTTGCAAGATCATTTTCTTCGGTGAAAGAAAGGTCTACGCGTGTTGAAATTCCAGTGTAATAATCGTGAATTTTCTACGCGAGACGAAACCGTGAGATTTTTGTACCGAGACTTTATGTTACATCCGGATTAAATTCATTAGCAATATTGCTCAGTGGGATTGGCCGAGCAAAAGGAAAATTAGGATGAAAACTGCGCCTCGCGGCTGCACAGTTTGAGCGCCTCGTAATGAGTAAGTAGCAAAATGACTAGCGGGGAGCGCACCTAATTCAATATCATTGAAACACGATCTTGTCAATTAGCTCTGTGATTTCGGTATTTAGTAGCTCCATCGAAGCTATATAATCAATATAGGAGCTAGACATTCTAACGTTACGCGAATCCGATTACGTTAATATTATTCCGCTCGAATAACAGGACATATCTCAACATATATAATATTCAATCGAATCTCGCCAATTATAATTAAATATTAATCGCAGCTTTCAATCGATCTATGAATTTCCCATTGATTTTCAAGTACGTGTTATTTTACGGAACGGAAAATATAGTCTGAAAATGATACGATGTTATAGGAAGACTTGACAAAAACAACAACTGCGAAGCTCTCATTGTCAGTGGCGCTTTATGTAGATACAATTTAACCATGTGTTGCGAGGATTACGTCAGTACTGTATCGAACTAAGGGTGGAAATTAGCATCAATTATTTGCCAAAGACGAGCAAATCGTACCGATTGATCTCCTAACATGCGAGAGATAATGGTGTCTCATATCGCTATATACGCTCCCCCCCCTTCCCCTCCGTGACATCACGTTTCCTACTATCACGTATCGACTTGCTCATCATTCGCTCGTTGAATTTCAATGAGACGTGCCGCGGATATTAAGCATCGCTGAAAAATACGCGAGAGATGTCAAAGACAAGGATGTATTCAGGGGAAGTTCGTGTGATAAATACTAAAAAAAGTATATATATATTTCCCTTTGAAAAAAAATTTCTCCGAAGGTAAAAGGAACAAAAAGGGTACCGAGTCGATTCGTTTTCCATTGCGCGCGACAATGGCGTCGCACGAAATTCCAAAAAAGAATTCTCACTTCACTTTTATTCGCCTCGCGCGTGTCGAATGACGTCGAGCGTGAAAACATCGCGCGATACCTTCCATCGTGGTTCTGCACATGCGGAAAAAAATGATATCTACTCACACAGGATCGCGCCGACTACTGGCTGACCACAGTTGAAATAATGTTTCGACGATCGTGCCTTGAATTCGATAGCGAAGGAACTGCAAGCTCGGCGCTCTCGTTGCACGTGCGTAACGGAAGTATCGACAACTCTAATGTTCTCCACATCGACTCGGCAACTTGTTGTAAAAGACCGTTTAATCCTCGCGTTCATTTAACTCTCCTCCTCTCTTTCTCTAAGCACGGCAACTTGTTCAAAATAAGCAAAACTTCGGGAGAATGACAAGCGGAGAGAGGGGCTTGCATTTTTAATTTAATTTTTAGATAATCGGGAAAGTTGTCGAACAACGTATTCTGTTGCAACAGAATAATTTACGTTATTCGGAAAAATATTGACGCAACTCTTCCCTACTTGTTATGTCGCAGACATGGAACTACCTAAACACGCGAAAAAGGCCGGCGACCGGCGGTCAGAGGACGACGCGGGCGATCCGATCGGCGATCGCGATCACAGATTGAACCACGTGCATCAGGGCTCCCTGAGGGAAACGGGCTCGACCCTGGAACCAGCCTTCGACACGGACGACAATTCGGCGTCCACAACGTCAAGAGACAACGCGCCGCCGGCGACGATCGGCATCGTCCTGATCGTGCTGCACCACTTGCTCGCTTCGACGTAAGATAGACGTAAACCTATTTACCCTTAAACGCAAACTACGTTTACCACCGACTCGATTCGCTAACCTAAGGAGACTGCGAGATAGCGGCAGGGTAGCTCCGTCGTCTCGCGTTCTCGGCAATCCACGACATTATTGCCGAATCCTCCGTATCGATGTCACGAGACGATATTGACGGGACATTAATCACAATATTTTATACGGAATTCGATTACTGTGCGCCGTAGTGCTGAATGGTACGAATACGTCCAAAAATATGGCAAAGCTCGCTAAAGCCGCCGAACGAAATTCTTCCAGCGGAAATCGGGGAAGGTAAATTGACATCTCGGCTATTATTTTAATCTCTTGCGCGATAACGTTACACCGGCCCATTTTTTCCAAACGACAACGCAATTATGTTTCCATTATTTATTTTATTCGTGACAAATGACAGATTAAAGTTACATTCGCGGATTCGCGGAGTCTTTATCAACGTCAGCCCTATGCGGTAATTAAATACCGTCGGCTCGAATTCTGCTGATGAAAAAAGCGCATTTCATAAAATTAAAATATGATATGCGAGAACGAATGTTAATAATAATGTCCGCATTCACATAGAAATCACGGCAGCCTGGCGAGCTCAAAAAGCGCTGAATTAACGAGCGACATGTTAAATTATTGTATGTTCTACGTAATGCTACACGTGTCACATAGACGGAACCAGCCGACAGCTAACGCACGACAGTGCAATATGGATGACTTTTATATTTAAAGGAGATATTTTCAGCAAGGTGCATTTCAGTTATCTCCGTACATCTCGGAGACGCATTTGTATAAGACGTACGGTGAAGTCTATCCTTCCGCTGTTGGCAGTAACATCGACAGCAGAGAACAGATTCATTTTTCTCTTGGCGAAATTGCAAGGTAATTTATCGGTGCTGTGGAAACTTATTAGTAAATTAATCTCGCACCTCAGAAACTTGGTCACAAGAAAGACGCGCCGAAGAAATTGCTGAGAGAAATCATTAATTTTTTTTTCATTATAAAAATCAATGTGACTATACATTACGAAGTCTGGCGATTTCTTTTATATAAAAGCAGTCCATATTTCGTACGGCATCGATCCAATATGGCCGCTCTTCCGCCCAGTGCTCGTGAAAATTAACAGCCTAGCGAATATCGACGAAACGTTAACGGCAGACCGAAGATCGTGAAATTTTGTTCGTGTCGTCATCGTCGAGCTACGGCTACCGCGATTATCCGTCTACGGCTTAACGAGATATCTCGTTAGTTTACCGTGTCTCCGCGCCACCCCAATGACATAATTATTAAATCGCCAGTTCTTTTTTTAACTCGCGTCCGAAACGTCGGATCACGGGCGAGAGGCGGTTACACGCGAAATCAATTACATAAACGTCGTTCACGTCGAATGGTCACCGACGCCGGGGAGGAAGTGCTCCCGAGAACGGCTGATGCCGCGAGCGAGAAATCGCGTGTTTAATTAACGCGCGTATTTCCATCGAGCAAATTTCACATTAGACGCGACCGCGCGGAACGAAGTGAACATCGACGTCTGATCCAGCGTCGATTCTGCGCGATCGGGAAGCGAAACGCCGCGCCGGGCCTTCCACTCGCGCCCGTGAGTACGTAACGTCTCGCATCCCCGGGAAATGCAATTTCGCATTGCGCGCACACTCCTCGAATCTTTAAACAGACGCCGAGACATCTCTGAATTATGAAGAAAGAGTGTCCCGCCTTCTTTTGTATTTTACGCGGTATTTCTCTACGCCTCCCATACGTTCGATAATTTTTTGGGGAGAGGGGGGGGAGGGAGGGACATTAACGCGTATGACGGGACGGTAATTGAAATTTTTCTCATTAATATATTTGCGCGCGAGCAATCGTATGGAATATTTTTATCGGCAATTTCGTTATTAAATGTCTATATCGATCGATCCGCGTGACAGAGACGCCTCTCTCTCTCTCTCTCTCCTTCTCTCTTCGATATCTAGATATTATTACTCACAAAGACAGCTACGGCGTTTTAATTTCTTCAACACGCAACGCGGATGTTTCGTATGGTTTTATTCTCGGTTTATTCTGCGCTGAGAATATGACATTACAATTGAATCCGCATCGGCGGATTATATCGGCTCAAAATATACGAGCGAGAGAAGAATTTTCCATTCTAATGCTACGATAAGAATTTCGTAAGAAATCGGTAGAGAAATGCCGATATATGCTTTGGGCGAAAGGTAGAAAATAAAATTTTCTAGATAAAACGATGCTTTGTAAATAACTAATTGCCGAATTTCCTGATCGCCGGGAATCAAATCTTGGATTATAAATGTTCGGTCGATATAATCGGAATCCTCGCATATCAAGAAATGGGAGCGCGAAACAATAGTAATAAAGAAAATTGTCGTCATCTTATACCGACGTTAAAAGTATTGTTGAGGCTGATTTCATTTGTTGCAAAAATTGCAAGCCATTTGTATAAAAAGTTCTTTCACGGGAATTATTATATTATCTTGAGGATCTTGATTTCACTTTTTTCCTCGAGCTAAATTTTTCACGTGTCTCACGTTAGGGCTGATTTATAAATACTTATGTGATTCGCGCGGGTCTATGCAAATTTTCAGGAAATTCGCGGTCCGCCGAAAATGCGATAGCCTCGGTAAACGATTTTTGATACGTAATTTCAGCCCCAGTTACGAGGCGCGCAGACGAAAATGAAAGTGTGAGATAATTACTCGTCCCGATTAGGAAAAACGTGCCAAATGTTCGCCTTCATTATTCTTTTCTTATTTTAAGAACATCGGTATTCCAAGGGTCCACATCGCTTTTCTCCAGCTCCCGAATCTAATCTTAGATATCCATTGTTGTTACCTCCATTTAAGCGGCTTTTCTATAAATGGCATCAAGCGTTGATCTTGCGTTTTGAGTTGGCGACATTTACGGAGACTGTGGAAATGTTTATATGAAGACAACAAAGTTACGAAAGAACGATCTATCCATCTTTTTGTATAAATGTATATATACTTTCGAATTAAAATTTATTAATCCATTAATAGCTAAATCTCAAGTCCTGTAACTCTGGTTTGTTAAGTAGATTAAGATCCAATAACTTTACTGTAAATTACGGCACAAAAGGCTATTACATTCTCTAGGGGAGAACTTTAGAATCTTATTTCTCAGTTTTGACAAAGGCACTCAGGTCCTTTTACATAAAAGTCGTCCATTTAATAGGACAATGAGTAATGCCGGTAGACAAAGGATGCGATGCTTTATAACGACAACACTTTTGCTACCGCTCGTTGTCGACGGCGTTGTCAATTACGTTATCCGACAGTCGCGTTGTGGAATGGACGATTAACGCGTATGGAGGTTAAATGTTTTATACTTGTGAAGTACGATGAATAGCGCACGGTTTGCCAGTATATGAACCGTTTTCACAAATATCGTATAACAAGGTAAAATCGCTTGTTTCTGATACCTTTTTTTACGTGACATTAAATTAAGTATTGTTGTTACATCATAATAAATATGATTGTGAAGAATTTGCAGCGTCGTTGTAATAAAAACTGACAATCTGCTTTGTTCTGGTCACACGATAGATGGTCTTCTTTCTTGCTATCACAATCGCGATGACATGCCAATGAATAGATTGTACCAATAAATTCAGACAGAAACAATTACGCGATATATCGTCGGATAATTAAAAAGCTAGTATTATATCCACAAAAATCACAATATAATTCACATTTTGCCATCTCGCTTGAATTTGGTTGATTTGGCGACCTTCCTATTCGCGGATTTTTATTCAACCTAAATGAACATAAGCTCGACTACGTGATTGTCCGTTTTGTCATGAAAGCTTGAGGGGCTAATTTCTGTACAGCTACCGTACTATCGATCGTCATGGTACAAGTCGAGGAGTGCTACGGTGTCGTGACACCGGTAGGTATCAGTGTCATACTAGCCCGTTCGTGAATATATTTCATATTTAATGTCACGTGAAAATGGGTCAAAGCGTCAATCGCCATCAAGGCGCAGCACGATTGTTTCGTTATTTATTCGTGATTGGGCCTCGTTATAGTCGCAATAAGTGGATGTATATGCCTGTTTTGCGTGCGTGCGTGCGTGCGTGCGTGCGTATGCATGGGATGTGCGTGCATGTGTCATGTGAGAGAAACATCGCGATGTCTAATTACTATTAATGGAAAGCGGGAAAACGTCTATGTGTAGATTGTGTAAATTACGGAATAGGGTTTATCGAATTGTTGATCGTAGGTGTGTTTATATATATACAAGGGTTATATAATATATATAAATATATATATGAAAAAAAAATATATATATAAATATATCTAAGGCGTAAGTCGGAAAGAAAAATCAAATCGTAATCGAATCGGCCTTTACGCGTTAGGATGGGCAATGCGAGTTTTTGTGGCTCGAAATTATCGACGAGTTTTGTTGATCGATCATTGTTGATATCGTTTGGAACATTGTTATAGCAGCCAACGCTTTTTAAAGATGAATCGACTACTCGTCACTCCGTAAATCATCCTTATCGCGACGGAGCGACAAGAGATAGTCAGGAAATAATAAGGATTATATGTATAACGCTACGTTGTTGCTATATATCATTCGACAGTTGGGAAAAGAAAACGCGAAAACGTCTCCAACGTTTGGTTCTTAACGATTTGCGACGTTAATTTAAGGCGGGTTACGAAAACGACGTATAGACGGAGAATAACAGAATTAATGCTGTAAAAACGCTAATTCAATTTCACTCCTTCAGGTACATTGAATATCAAATCGACATCCCACGTGTCTCAATTCTTAATTTCACAAATTCGAAAATCAAAGAGAAAAGTAGTGCTTTAATCATTTGCCATGTTATCATAATAAATTAAATAGTCATCTATTTTGCGAAGTCTCGGCAGATCTCGAACCGTGCATTTTTATACGTGACAACACATAAAATATGTAAAGAAATGTAGTACAGGAGAAATTCTTCCATTTTTTAAAACGCGTTTGAAAATATTCGCGCGGTTAAAGAATGAAGGCGACGCAAGGGGCGACGCGCGCGGATTGCGTCGCGAGTTAACATATCATTTATGATTCCAGCATGATTTCGTGATGTTTTACTTACATATCGGCGAATCTCCGTGCGCTTTGATCGTTCTCGTGGATTTTCGGCCGCTCGAATTCATCAACGAGTGTCGCGCGTACGGGTAGCGCATAAAAGTACCGATACATTCGGCGCCTTTCTAAATTGCTAAAGTAAAAGTGTCGGATGTCGAGCTGAGCATTGCTGGGCAGTAGCCGATATTCTTGCAGGCGTCGATACCTTTAAGCATCATATCGCTCCAAGGTGGTCCACCTCGTCGTATCTGAAACAATGTAAAAAGTGCTTTTAGTACGATTAGAATCGAGGCGTTAGAGAGAGCTCGTCGTGTGCGTACCGATTTCCTTTTGGGGCTCGATCGTGCTGACTCTTTTAAGGAAGAGAGAATTAATAAAATCGACGATGCGGAAAGGATTTAAGGCTAGCCTTTAGAGGGACGTCTCAACGCTGTCCTCGTACGAGTGGCCTGACCTTAATATATTTTGCACTATGTATACATAGATATACAGAATGGCGACCTACCCTTCTTCCCACGTGAATACCCCTATTGTGAATACTACCGTCTTCGACCCACCCCCTTGCCTTCCCCAAATCCCGTCCTCCCCGAAAAATGAAAAATGTTTAGTCAACGGCGGCGCATCGCACACTGTACAATAATCTCACGCGCGTGCATATGTTATATAAATACACGATATACGTACGATTAATGATATGCATACCTGTGCGTCGATGTAATTAATTACTGTCCCCCCT